CTGTTCAGTGGGCTGTCACTCCTCTGACAATCATTCTTCTGTGAATTTGCAAAGGCTTGTGTGAGCATTTGAGCTGGGAGATGGGTTAATTTGCCATTTCATCCTCTTCCCACTGGGCAGATGAACAACTACAAAAGTCCTCTGAGCAGCTGTTCTGGTTTTGGCTGGGACAGAGTTAATTTTCCTTATAGTAGCTGGTATGGGGCCATGTTTTGCATTTGTGCTGAAAACTTTGTAGATAATACAGGGATAGGGGTTTTTTTTGTTACTACTGAGTAGTGTTTACATAGTATCAAGGCTTTTTCTGCTCCTCACACCATCCCACCAGCTGGGGGTGCACAAGGAGTTGGGACGGGACACAGCTGGGACAGCTGAACCTAACTGACCAAAGGGTTATTCCATACCATGTGATGTCATGCTTAGCATGTAAAGCTGGGGGAAGAAGGAAGGGAGGTACATTTGGAGTTTTGATGTTTATCTTGCCAAGTAACTGTTATACACGATGGAGCCCTGCTTTCCTGGAGATGGCTGAATACCTGCCTGCCGATGGGAAGTGGTGAATGAACTCCTTGTTTTGCTTTGCTTGAGCATGTGGCTCTTGCTTTATCTATTAAACTGCATTCATCTCAACCCACGAGTTTTCTCACTTTTACTCTTCTGATTCTGTCCCCCATCCCCCTGTGAGGGGAGTGAGCAAGCAGCCGTGTGGCGCGTAGTTGCTGGCTGGGGTCGAAGCACAACAGCAGCCCTCCCTCCCCCTGCCAGGGATGCCTCGGCTCTGTTCAGCAAGCTGCATAGGGGCAGCCCCCTCGAGCCCTGGCTGTCTGTGAACAAAAGCGGTCTGTGTTTGCAGGACTGGGCCATGGTTCTGCTCCAGGGAGTCTCACATTCACGTGCTACCTGCTATGGTTCGGAGCACAGCTTCACACATGCCTCTGACCTCCAGGACACGGGGAACACGCGGCCGAGAGCACAGTTACGTGGCCCCTTCCCCATGCAGGACTGTGCCAGGCTGCTGGGCTGGCTGTTGGTTCCTCTGCAGAGCAGGTCCCCAGGACACTTGCCACTTCCGACCAGTCCCTCTGACGGTAGTGGAAGGTATCCCAGCGCTGCTGGGGAAGTTAGTATACTTAGGAAGCCAATATCCATCAGGGGCAGACCCAGATCTGGGGCACCACCCCGAGCTAAAAAAGGATGATTGCTAACCTCAGAGTTAAGTGCCTGCTCTCCACTTTCCTGTTCTACTTTCTTTTTTTTTTAAAATCCTTAGGCATATGAGAAAGAAAAGAACCCAAAAAACTTAAAATACTTGAGTAACAAATGTTGGCAGAAAAAGAAATAAGTCTCAGCATCATTTTGGCTATGAGATAGGATGTCCCGCCCAGCTGAAGGGGGAAGCCTGTAAGATTTCAGAAAAGCAAGGACTGTAACGCTGAGATTAACCTCCTCTTTCTGAGCTGAGAACCGCTTCCCACATCCCAACACCGTTCCCTCCAGAGTTCTCTCTGCTGGAGCCCCCACTGTGCTGCGGATGTCAGCCTCAGGCTAAAGCTATTAGCGTTAGGTTTAGGGCTAGGGTTAGAGAACCACAAAGCCTAGAGCTCCAGGGACAATGGGGATTGCAAAGGCACGCCAAGAGGAGCACGGCACTGCACCAACATTGCTCCCCCACAGCTTTCATAGCTGGGACACCCATGGTACAGGGGTCGTCAGAGCTTGGATTGCAAAGGCACGCCAAGAGGAGCACGGCACTGTACCAGCACTGCTCCCCCACAGCTTTCATAGCTGGGACACCCATGGTACAGGGGTCGTCAGCCTCAGGCTAAAGCTATTCGGGTTAGGGCTAGGGTTAGGGTTCCGAGAATCACAAAGCCTAGAGCTCCAGGGGGAAATGGTGTTGGGCTGTTCACCCTGAAACCTTTGTGCCAATGTCTGGCATCTAGAGGGAGCTGGGCATCTCTTGTTATTCCCACAAGCCCTGGAGTAAAACACTGCCAAATGAATAATCAGATTTCTTGTAAGCTGTGACAGTCAGAGTCTTGCACTTTATTAAAAACAGTAAATTTTTTATCTGATTTTGTAAACATTCTCCCCTTTGGACCCAAATACTCCAGTTCTGAATTTACCTTCATGACTTCTCCCCTATTTTTCATCACCCATTCCAGCAGCCATCCCAGACCTGGCTTCTTATAATTCAGAGGATTTTAAACTGTGAAAAAGGAGAATGCAGGTACCTTTTGTGGATGAAGAAAACAGCAACATCAGTGCATGGAGATACAGAGACTGAGAGAAAGAAGGGCCAGGAAAACAAGGAGCAGCTCTACACCAGTACTCAGCCGTGGAGGTGTAGCACTGCCAAGGGTATGTGCACGGATGGAGGGCAGCGTGTCCAGCTCCTGGTGTGCAGATCTAGACATACCGGTACTTAAATATGATTGGCTTTAACAGACTTCTAAGAAAACCCTGAGAAAATGCAGCAGGGCTCCTTTCCAAAGAGCAGACGTTTGCTGTGGTGTATTTGTCCAAGAGGGTCTGATTTTCCACATTTCTGTGCATGATCTTCTAGCCAGTGGTGGTTGTGTGTTGGTAAAACATGGAAATAATGGCTTGGCTTCATCAAGTACGGGGGTGGGGGGGGGAAATGTAAACACATTTTGACTTATAATGAATTATTATCAACATAGGGCGCAGCCACATTAAGAGTGATAAAAATGAGACGGAAAACTAGATCTTGCTGAGATCTTTTTTTTGACAAGTTCACTCACTGTTGTTTCAACCAGCAACACTGGTACGGCAAGAGGGTAACTTCATCAGTTGCTACCACGCAATTGTTTAATTTTAATAGGCTTGATGGATACCATCCGCTCCTCCTTTAAATACTAATGAACACTTTAATATGACAGATGTGGACAGACAGTACTCGCAGATTAAAATCAGGCACAGCATTAAATTGCTTACAAACAGCAGAGGAATCCTGCTGGACATCGTGATAGCCAGCCACAGGCAGCTGATAAATCTTCAGCGGCTACCACCAGCCCACAGTGTCTGCTGGGCAGGGCCTTGTTTTGAGGCTTCTACAACCACACTCCCGTCCTCATCACCTGGGAACAGAAATGTACCCTTCCCAACTCCTGCAATTTTCTTTCTAGGGTTTGTGCAGGCCCAACCATGAAACAAGATCTCACTTCCTGAGATGCATATCCAAATTTCAGTAACACAAGCACATTTCTAGCAAGTGCTCTCAGGTGCAGTTACTGTCAGCTGGTATCCTCCAGCCCACTGGGGTGATGGCAAGAAATGTTAGGGAAGGACCCCCAACCTAGACAAAATGCCAGTCTCCCACTCAGTTGTGACAGAAAAAGATTCAGTGGTGGATTGTTCCCGTCCCCCAAATCAGTTGTCAGGTTCAGTAAAACCAGGGCCAGAAGCTGGGTTAATAATGAGTTTTCAAACAGTCTGAAGCCACAGGTAAGCAGCAAACTTGGTTATCACAGAGCTTCACATGCAGCCCCACTCACTTCCAGGTAAAGCTTCCTACTGTTGGTTTTTTTTTGGTCTTAACTGTTGTGAGAAGAAAATGACAGAGATCCAATTCCTGGCACCTGCTATCTATCAGTTTTGTCCTGTTCCATTGCTTTTGGTGGACCCTGTCCTGAATTCATGAAATGTGAGTCCCAGTTCACTCTGGTAGGTGAACTGGGAAACATGCCATGGAGCTCAGTCCTCACTGGAGCTGGTGGGAATCAGAGGGAGGAGAGTTGCCTGTACCCCCAGGGAGTGGCCTTTGTGTGGAGCAGGGAGGTTACAAGTGACTGGGCTGTGGTGATGGGGGTCATCGAGGGGGTGACGTGCCAGCAGCTCCTCCAGCGTCACCCACAACTGCTGGCATGGATGGTATGGAGCACCTTGTTCAAAGGCATCTCTCATTTAGTTTCTTGGCTTTCAGAAGGTACCATGTGGTGCTTTGGGTTCAGCTTCCTTTATCTGTTTCTTCCTTTTTTCCCCCCCCTTGCATCTTGGGAAACTCTTTTTTTTTTTTTTCCCCCCCTTTTTAATTGTGTGAAATCAACTTGGAGTGAAAAGGCCAAGAAAAAACTTTCTGACGACAAGTGAGTCTACAGCTGCGTCTTTGTTCTCGGTGGATCTACAGACCACATTAATCAGACACTTCGCTGACCCTGTCTTTACTACCTGAAGACTGAAAGACAAAAGCGACACAGTCTGGCCACATTTAAAAGTTCAATTAAAAAATACCTGCTGCCCAGGGATAAACATTATCATAGACCTCAGTGGGGTTAGGCATAATTATGGTAAAGCCAATGCCTTTTTCTGACTCTGTTTTTACTTTTTCCCCCAGAAGAATAAAGCCTAGTTTTTCGTTTCTCCTTGTGATTATGACAGCTGGGTGTGTGACAGTGTGCTCCGTGGTGTCGGGTAGCTCTTGTCCCGGCTTTTAGTAAAGAGCGAGGTGAGAAATTCCTGAGAGGGGATGGCAGTGGGAAGAGGAGAAGTGAACCTACTGGAGAGGACCCGAAGAAGAATCCTCTTGTGCTCCTATTCTTTTGGACAACACTGGTCTGATAAAAATACTACCTCCTCCTATAGCCCTGGCAGAAGCAGACTGACGGAGGCGTGAGGAGACCCCACTCAGAGCCAGACTCGGCGCCTGGAGACACAAGCGAGGCAATGGGAGAGAGATGTAGCAGCACAACTCCTGCCCTAAGGATGCAATGGAGAGCGTTATGGCACCCAGCTGTGCCTGGCTGATTTTATTATTGAAATATGAAGCAAATCAGTGGCTATCCAGTCAGCTGAGAACACAAGCAGCCAAACAGAGGGGAGAAAACCAAACGAAGGCCCTCGGCGCTGACCATGACAGGAGGAGAGGTGCCAGCCAGCCGGGGAGGTGGCATCCCCTCTTCAGTGCGGCGAATGACCTAGGAGCGGGCGCGTCTGCTCCAGGTTGAACATTCAGTTAAATAAAGGGGCAAATTCCTCCCTCAGAACGTCCTCCGGCCCCGCCAGCTGCCCCTGGGCCTCTCCTTCCCCGGCTTGCCGGCGATCTGCCTGTGGGGCTTCTTTGCATGCTGCACCTTGATCCACCCCCCCTCGCTGACTCTGCTCTCCCCTTCGCCCCTCCTGGGCTCGCTCTCCCCCTGCGGGGGCATGCCTGGGATGGCCTTGGGCTGAGGGGGGGTGCGGGGGTACCTGCGGTGCTGGGAGGCCGGGTGGGCTGCCGGCGAGGAAGTCCTGCTGGCTCTTCCTGAGTGCCGGGGGGGGACTGGGGAGCTGGTGCCGCTGCGCCGCCCGTCTGAGGAGCTGCGGGAGTTGGCACTGTGCGAGGCATTTCGGCCTTTGCCGGCAGACCTGTCCCTCTCCGAAGGGGTGTCGGAGGCGGTGCTGGAGGTGCTGCTGCCTTTTGAGTTCAGGTGCAAATTTGAGAGGTTTCTTATCAAACTGTGGGAGAGGGGAGAGGAGTTTCTGGAGTGGCTGATGGACGTGAACTGGTAACTGATGGGACCGCGCGTCCTCCTCACAGCAGCGGCGTAGGAGTCCTGGCTGCGAAGGTAGGGCAGGTAGTGGGTGACGGTGGTCGGGCTGTGGGGATGGCCGTGCTGGAGAGAAATGGCTTTCGCTATCTGGTGCATTCGCAGCGTCTGCATCCACTGGCTGTCGATGCCTGGCAGGGAAATGGAAACAAAGACAGCTTTCTGTGAACTGATGGAAAACCGCTCTCTGGTTTACTGTCGCGTGAGGTTAGGGTTTCTCTCCGAAGAACCCCAACATATCACAAAGCTCCCTTTCTCTCCCAGCCCTGTGGCAAATAGGTTTGAGTATGTTCAACATCATGGTTGAACGTAATGCTGGACTTCTAAAACAGGAAGTGGTGCTGCCAATGCAGATTATGGAGCTTAGACTAGAAGACACTGACCCATCCATCTGGCTGTCCCCACTTTTGAGTGCCTCCCAGTGTTTTTAACCCAACCTGGTTTTAAGCATTTCCTGTGATGCTCTTGGCAGCCTCAGCCAATTTCTCCACAGCTTCCACTGCAGAAGAGCCCAGAGACCTCCTAAGTAGACACGGAGCCAGCATCCTGAGGCACCAGCACCATCGCAGCATCGCCTCCCACCTGCATCTCTCCCAGACGGTAGAGTCACACCATTCACAGCAGAGCAGAGACAGAGGTGGTGCAGACTTCCAGTGCAAATCCCTGCTGCAACAGCCAGACCCACCTCCTCTCACTCCATTTTCTCTTCTAACTGCTACACACCACAACTGGAGCCACTTCTGTTGTTATTGTTACTAGAAATTCAGAAATCAATCCACTTTTTGTACTCCAGATACTGTCTAAGCCCCAGCTACACCCCTCCGTCCGGCTTCCTGCAGAAGATCGTAGAATCATAGAATAAAATCCAACTCCATCTGTGGGAAAGCCAGCGAGGCAGCAGGCTTCAGCCAGGATAGCTCAGCCAGCACTTAACTGTGACCAAGTCAGGGTATTACAGTTCCCTCACACGTACTGTCACAGCCCTGGGGTTGTAACAGAAGTTGTAGCTCCCAGAGATCAGACTGAAGTGCATTTTGAAGTCAGTCCTGTGGTTTGCATGGGAGCCTATAGCAAATACAGTAGTTGTAAATTTTCCATTTGAATTGCAAGGGCTGCCTGGTTTGCTACTTTATGGGTAGAGCAGAGACCAGGAATTCCTCTTACCCGAGGCCACAGCTCTGGCCAAAAACCCATGGGAAGCAGCTTAAATAATTTTGCTCTAGAGAGATTTGAATGATTTGTCCTTAAAGATTGCTGATATCATTCCCACAGGAAAGCATAACCCTGCCAGCTTGCAGCAGGATAAATGCGACTGAAATGTTATTATCCTCAGCAGAGGATCCCAACTCCCCTCTCACTTTTTGCTGTTTTTGCAGGGAAAAAACTTCCTGTGCTATGGGCCCTCTGCTTCTCGTTGCAACGCTGCATCTGCCATGGGGAGTTTTGTGGGAGGTGGGGGGCAGTTCTGTCCTCATTAGGATTGCTCCTGTTAACATGTAAGGGATGGTCTCTTCCCTTCCTCCCTTCCCCAGACTTTGCTTGAATCCCAAAAGATTTAAATCACTTAAATTTAATGTCAAATATGTCAAAAAGAAACTGTCTTTCCTGTCAAAGTGCGAGTACGACACCGCCACAGTATATGGCTCCGGCTGCACTGAGGGATGAGCCTCCTTGCACAGAAAGACGGATGGGAATTGCTTTCTCTGCTTTGTAACCTCCTTGAAAGTCATGGTTTCAAAAGAAACATACATACTGAAATGTACTTTCTAGACACCATCTCCTCTATTGTTCCCCCATGCTCTCCTACCAATGCAGTGGACGTAAACGACAGACCTCATCAACCTGGAAGCAGCAGGCTCAGGACTTGAATTTGGGCCTTTGCTTGTTACCAGCTCTTAAGTGGCCACCACATGCCCTGTGGGACCAGTGCTGACGCTGTCCTGAACGAGAGGCTCTCTCCAGCACCTTCAGGCTGTTTGGTCCCTGCTCCTTATGTCCAGCAGCAGCCACCAGCCCAGGGACCAGCTGCCTAGTGGGGACCTCCCAGCATGCCCTGTGGGGCTGTCCCTCATTCCAAACCTCTCCTGGGCTGGGCGGCTTCTCCCTCATATAGTCTCTGAGCCACCAAATCTGTACACAGCTCTGTGTGACAGAACACAGAGGTAGTACCTTCACCGCTGGTTATTTTAGCCTCTTAGGTATTGCCCTTACCTTTGTGCTTGGATTTGGCGGTGCTTTAAACCTGGGGTAGGTGTGTGGTAAAGAAGACAAGCTAGAAAGCTTGCTAGAGCTGCGGCGCAGCTTTCACGCGGGCTGGTTACCCACCTCCTCTGCACTGCGCCTATTCACCTGGGCGCTGACAATACATTAGCGCCTTCGTGTAACTCCTCTGTGTGCCAGAGGGACAGACAAGCTTTCCCACCGCTCACCACAAAAAAATGAAAGCAGCTCGGCTTGCTGCGGCAGAGCCAACCTGTGAAGATACAACACCATGCTCTGGTACGGCTCATCACTCCAAAAGCAGGGTAACCTCCACCAGCAGAGCTAATCCACAGTGAAGATGCATCCCTTAGGACACGCTCTATGGATCACTCTGCTAGAGTCAGCTGAGTTGAGTTTGACTATGTCAGCGGCATACTTTTAATTAGGAAACGAAGACTGCAGTGTAGAGTCCACTGGGTTATTAAATGTATCCCACTGAACAAGTCAACCCCCAGAAGCCGTAACAAACACTATTCCAGAAGTCAGATAATGATGAGCCAGGATGGGCCCGAACAGGCAGGCTGAGCTGTGGAAGAAGAGTGCAGTGGGAAGATTTCCACTCTTCCTCACAGCAGAGCTGGCCATCGAGAGCGCCCACAGGGTCTGCCGGGCTGGCAGCACATACCTGTCGGAACAGTGTAGTGCTCACAGGGGACTCCTCGCCACCTCCACGTGCAGCTTCTGAGGCTACAGCCTCGGTATGTGCAGCACCCCTGGAAGAGTTTTGGCCAGTGCAAGAGCCATCTGCACCCACACATCTCGTCCAGGAGGTGCCCTGTACCTGAGCACGGATCAGTGCAAAGCTGCCTGTGCACTGGGTGGCCAAGAGAGGGAGGAAAGAGCTGACCAAAGCACTCCTGCTGAGTTTGGGCTGCAGGGAGAGAAAGCCAGGATAAAAGCTGCTGAAAGCATTGGCTCCCAAAATCCTCAAAACAGCTGTGGAAAAATCCATTGTTCCCAACAGATAGAGCACAGAGGTGTGTAAGACTGCCTCCTTTCCCAGCAGATGCCTGGTTAAGAAACATATCTTCACCTCAGGCCCTGCACACTTTGTGTGGGTGCTATAATTCAGTCCAAATCCTTCTGCTATGCCAAAACACTTGGCTCCACAGAGCACTCTTTTGCCTTGGTGAAAAGGGGTGGATTTGGAGGAGAAGGGCAGATTTGCCAGCTGATCCCCCGATCCAGCCTCCACAAGCAGACTATGAAGAAGAGCAGGTCTGCCATCATGGGAAGTCTGTCATGAGTGTCCACACATACGCCAGCAGAGAGGGGAAGAAGCCTGGACCATAGACAGAAACACCTCTTCCAGTAACCTTCTACACTGGAGGGAGTCAAAAGGTTGACCCAAGGCCAACCCAAGGAAAGGGTTGAAAAAGTGTATGTATTTAAGGCAGCTCACTCCTGGAAGATGTGGATCATTTGGGGTTTTGGAGCAGAAAGATTTGAGGTCTATGTCTGCTGCTGATATGCAACTGCAAGCGACTACGGTAGATAAAAGATTTGTAGCTAATGGCCACGGACTGCTTCCAGCATGCTCCCTATAGGAGAAAACAGGTCATCCCCCTTAAATCACATTGTGATACAGAACATGTTACTACCCGAAGTCTGGCCTTTAAGCCATGTCAGACGTGCCAGGGCGCTCCCGCATGCACCTACGAAGACATCACCGGGACCACAGTGCCAGCTGATGCTGCAAGAGGGTGCGCTGTTGTTGGAACAGAAAAATGGCATTGACTTTTTGCTATTCTCCCCGTATGCACCTTGCCCAGGTTTTGTGTACTGACTTACTCGAGTCGGATCTGCTCCGTGAATTCCCCTCCGAGTTGGGGAGCGAGGTCTGTATCATGAGCTGTACTGTCTCGACCTCGTCTTGCGCTTTCACCTTGCTCCAGCAGATAGCTTGGATATGCCTGGTTGTTTTGGGAGCTCTAACGTCGCTCTGCTCAGGAAGGACACAACACGCATGAGGACATAACGCACACTAGGACGTAACACCAGACAGCCTGCTAAGCTCTCCTACGAGGGAACGTGCACCCGTGCCCGGGTGGCAGCAGCATTGTCAATACAGAGTCTGTTTTACAACACCACTTTGCCAGTTCTTTAGTATTTTTAGGCTCCAGATAATTTTGGCTGTTATTTTGTGATTATGCTAAAAATGTGGTAGTGAAAAACTGTTTCAATTCATGTACCACGTGGAGGCAAGTTCCAAAGGCTTCCTCTACAAACACAAAAATGTATGTTACTAGTTATGTTAATGTGAGTGTCAAATGGGCCGTGTTTTCTGCTAGAAGATGTAGGGCTAAGCAGGTATTTTTGGGGGGTAGCCCCACAAAACTTCCCTGGAGTATCAAGCTCTTGAATTTGCTGTGAAGGGCCTACGACTCCTGCGAGAAACTTCAGGCCGAAAGAATCTACTGTTCTTCACTTCTGAGACAGGCAAGCAAGGTGTAGGATTTCCCCGTCTCTCCATCACTGCTTGAATCCTTCCCCAGGACAGAACTGGAATCTCAATTATTAACCTCCTTGTGATGCACAGTATTTGTCTTTATAAAAATACTTTTGTAAGTAACAGCAAATTCTTTTTACAAAGCCTAATTTCTATCACATTAAATTGTCTTCCAGGTTTTATCTTATTTTACTCTTGACTTTTCATTTGCTTTCTTCTCCTGTTGCTTCTCAGCTCTTCTAATTAGCACCACACTGAAAAGGTAAAAACCAGTCTCTTCAAGTAATGCAAACAACACTGACCATTACACTTCAAGCCAAAGGAGTTTGCGTCCTTTAAAAAAAGAGCTGTCCCAGGCAGCAGTCTGAGGACACTGTCTCTGTAAACCTCATTCAGCTCTCGCTCTGAACTTTAGATTTTACAATTAATTACAGGCTGCTGAGACATGATTATAGGATATAACAAAGCCAAAGGATGCTATTTCCACACCTCCCATCTAGGTTTCATCTTGGATAAACAATTTTTTTGTTTCTTAGAGCTTACCTCATATGTAACAACACATTCTACAGACTGGTGTTCTTCTATCCCCACAATCCATTTCTCCATTACAAACGGTGGCTGAAAAAACAATGGTGGGAGTTTATAAGGTGCCCTTCATCTCCAGACTTATTTCTGAAACACCCCAGTGATATTTTCAACATTTGCCTTTTTTCATCCATTTCCATATTGTTAACATCAATACTGTCCTTAAAATCTTATGAGATAAAGTAATGTGTTTAGGAATGATTTACGTCCGTGTTTACAAAAGGAAGCTGCGAAGAGGTTTCTATAAATAACAGACAGTAGGTAAGACAAAATTGAATGCTTTAATGGGGGCATAAACCTTTTTAATTTTTGTGCATGTGCAGTTTTTTTCTGCTAGACTTAGAGAGGTCGGTAAGAAGAAATAGCTAGAGATTTGTGGAGATATTTCCTGACAGATATAAAAATGTTGAAGTATGTGAAAAGTTAATGTTATTGTATCTGGTTATTAGTTTATTTAATTTTAAGCCTTTTTCTTTAGGAAAAAAATTTAAAAGTCCAAGATTAAACAGAAAACTTTTGCAACAAATTAATAACAATAATTTTAAAAAATCCTAAGTGTTGTTTCAGAAATCACTAACTATAAAAATAGTATTAGCATGAATTAATTATGAGAATCCTTTTTGGCAAATACTCGTATTTTCACACTGTCTTTAATATACTTACTGTTGAGAATCTGATTTTCAGTTTTTCCTTTAGAAAAAAATGACCAAAGGTTCCCCCAAAATTTTGCCCCAAAAATGCACCGTTCAAAGTGTTCAGGAGTTTTTATCAGTGCACATTAGAGCAGCACTCTAATTGGTAATCAGGCTGTATATTTTTTCATTTAGAAATTTACTTTGTTAGCTATTATCAAGTGGAGCACATTAGTAAAACCAAAACGTTAAAATAACAGCAAACAGAATGCCCTCTGCATTAACAAAGCTTCTGTTGCTTATGGTAAAAACACTCTAAATGCTGGTTGGTAAATATTTACAGGCAGGTTCAGAAATAAGGTAAAATGCCCAGTGACACTGAATTGCAGATGTTCAGTGTTGTACTGTCTGTTGATGGGTTTCAGTCTCTGCAACCCGCCGTTGCATGAAAGAGGGAGTTTTAGAACCATGTAAAAGTTCTAAAAGCATTAAAAAAAAAAAAAAAACAACAAAAAAACAAACCCAAAAACCAAACCAAAGGGAGGAAAAAAAACCCCAGACAAATCACATGAAGTTTCAAACTGGAACATTTAAATCACTTTCTTCTCTTGAAAGGAGAGTAATTTTTTGAATATTCTTTTCTTTAAAAGGGGTAATAAATTCAGAGGATATAACATGGAATTAAAACAAGAAAATATAAATTAGTTCCTTCTCTTATTTTTCTATTGTTAACATTATTGTCAGCTTAAAAGAGAACCAAAATACCTAACTCCTATTATGATACAAATCTGTTTAAAATGTGCATTTTATTTAAAAGCTGTCAAGAGACTGAGCTTCCGCAAGCACAAAAGTCGACTGCTGTGGTATTTTAATGTCTTTGTTTGAGATCTGTGAATTCGTGAAAGCTTTAAGGCTGTAAATACCTTTGTCATCTTTAAAATCTCTAGATCAGGTAGGTTAGTGTTGAATGTCACATCTTTTATGTAGGTTATTGCAATTTCATCCCCGTCCATCTCCATGTACATTTTCCATTTACAATCCTATGAATAATAAAAAAAGAATGCTGGATTGTTAGAATACAAATAAAAAAACAAAACCAAAAAACCCAAATGAAACAAAACACAAAGCCAAAACAACCCAAAACCTAATCCTCAACATATGAGGGAAAAAACCCCAATGCCCAAGGTAAGGAACATATACCTATTTTAGGATATTCATGTTCTCCATAAGAGAGTTGATAATGGAAAACCCTTGGGTTCTTGTTTGCCCTCCTCTCAGCTCACCCTGCAAGACACCCGCCACCATGACAACAGGTTTGGATTCTTCAGAGGCGTGGGTCCCCCCGAGGGGTCCTGGGAGGAGGGTGGCTTCACCCAGCTGGCCGGCTGACCGCAGCAGCTCTGCCAGCCGCGTGGCCGCGGAGGATGGGGCAGCGGTGGGTGCTGCTGCCCGGGGTCACAGCCTGGCTGGCAGCCAGCCCCCAGGATTTCTTCCTGGTCAACCCAGGAACAGATGCCCCCAGGGCCCTGAAACACCCGTAAGACAGTCACTCCAGTGATGGCCAAGAGGACGAGCGGGGTGTCACAGCTCGGGTATTTCAGAGAGCGCCCAGCGAGGCACTGAGCAGCCTCAACTCCCGCTCACCTCCAGCTGCACTGTCGATTGTAAGCAAGCTCAGCTTAGAAAAATAATGATAGTGAGTCCAATAGACCAAAGCAACGAAAAGCGGCCTTAAGTTACCCCGTGAGCTGAACATGGGGCCAACATCCAAGCTTCGCACCGGCGAGCGCCTGCAAGAGGCTGGCGG